GCCTCCTTTTACAAGGGTCTATCCTATAAGTGATTCTGAGTTGAGAGGGCAGCTGTAATTAGATGTTTAAGAGCTAGGGATGAATAGGAAGATAAAGGAAGGAGGAAAAATAAAGAAAAGAAGGAGAGAAAGGTAAAAGAGCAGTTTCTAGCTCTTTATAATAGTAGCGCGTTTCACATCTTTAATCTAGGCCGGGCAGGCAAATAATCATGCTTTGTAGTTCCTGCTAGAGTATATAGTATAGCGCTTACGAATAGCCTACGAGTTAGACAAAAGAGTATAATCTTATATTTTATAACCTAGTCTATAATATCTGTATTTTACCTTATTTTTGCGGCTTTTCTTATTAAATAGCTCTGTAGTCTTAATCTTATATTATAAAATAACCTCTTTAGAAATTATGTGGTTTATATATAAGAAATATGTAACTTTAATAATTAAGAAAGAGAAAGCCTTAAATTAATTAAGCCTCTTAAGCTAAGAGGCTCTTATAATTAAAAGGCTAGAATAGAGTTTCTTATTTTTAGCCTTAATATTTCTAGCTAGGAAGTTAAGGTTATATCCTTTTTTCTAATAATACTAATACTATAAATAAGTATAATAAAGAGTTAGATATAGACCTTAGTTAATAAGTAGATTCTATTAGTTTAATTAAGGTTTAATTATAAGTGTGTCTTAACTAAAGCATCTTTAGCTTAGAGTATAAGGTCACTACTTAATAGCTTTTTAATTATAATTATATTAGGGGTATTAGTAAGGTTATTTTCTTTTATTTATAGCCTTTTTATAATCTGTCTAAAGAAAAAGGATTTAAGTAAGTAAGCATCTTTTAAGAAGACCTTAACTAGGATTTAATTATCAGTATAAGAAGGTTCTAATTAAGCGGGCACACAAGGGACGACAGCGCTTGCGAGACTAGTACAGATTACCTATATGTAGCTCGCAGGACCGGGGATAACTTTCTAGTCGATGCCTAAGATAAGGGCTTCAATTTTCTCTAGTCTAGTCTTGACTAGGGATGGATTATGTAGGGCTGTACGAAAGTACGTACAGACAGCTAGAAGAAAAGGGGTAAGGAGAGAGAGTAATGGATTATCAGGTAACAGAGAGAGGAGGAAGGGCAAAGATTCGAGTTTTTTGATTGTGCTGAGAAGGCTGGCTCTTTGCGTTCTGTCATTAAAGAGAGCGAGAGGGGAGTAAAAAGAAGTGGAAAGCTATAGGATTTAGGTAAGTTATTTATTATTAGAGGGCAGGCGGTTCGCTTATAAAGAGGGTGCAATTTAAGTGAGTAATAAGTTAGGTATAAGGTATATATTTAAATAATATTAATAAAGAGATTTATTTAAATTAAATAAATTTAATTAAAGAATTAAAGCTTAATTTTAGTAATACTAACCTAGAGTACTTTGCTATTTATTATTTTATAAAGATAAGATAAATATACTAACTCTTAGAAGACTATTCTAGTTTAGAGTTAAATAAATTAGCTATAATAAAATGACTTAGAAGCCTATAGCTTACCTCCTTTATATCCTTAAGATTATATAAGAATTCTATAAACGTTATAGTCATGCCTTATATTGCCCTAAATACCTAGCCTCTTAAGGGGGCGCCTATAACAAGTTAAAGAAATTACAGCTAGTTATAAATGCCTATAGATGTCTATAGTCACTTAGAAATGCTTAAAAAGATTTATAAGAGCCTAACCGTTATAAGACTACTATAAAAATCCCTGCCCTACCACAGCACTATAAGGACCTACGCTCGCAGGAGCTTACATATAGAGAGGGGGTGATGTTACGAATTCTCCTGTGACCTACACTAAGGACTATATTCCCTGTGGCACTGATCATGGCTCACAGAGCTCATCTCGGACCCAGCTCCCCGCCGCTATTCTAGCTATCACTGACGACAGGTACCCATAGTTGTCTGTACCTGGCCTCAGCGAGATAAGGGGCACGGACATATAATAATATTTAAGAAGAGATTATTTAAATAAAGATAATAAACGTAATAATAATAATACTTATATAGCCTTTCTGTTAATTAAATAACAAGAGTATATATTAGTACTATATAACTCTCTTGATAATAATAAAAGTATATATTAGTACTAAATATATTATTTTTAGACTAATTAAAATTAATTAATTAACTATAATATTATGTTTAGGAATATCCTTAGGGCTATTATTATTACTATATTATAACTAATTATATATATAGCTATTATTTATAAGGACTTATACTTTATATTCCTTAGCAATAGGCTTATTTAGTAATTTAATTATATAGTTACTTTTGCCCTAAAATAAAATTATTACTTTATTAATATAGATATAAGTACTTAGTGACTAATTTTGCTTGTAATTCTGCCTGATTATAATTGTAATAGGCTTAAGCTTCTTATGTAAATAATTCATTATTCTGTTAAAGAGAGAGAGAGCTATCTCGAAGTAAAAAATAGTAATAAATTTGCTCCTAGCGTGTTAAGCCTAAGAATCTGCCTAAACAGTATAAATCAAACTAATAAACTGTGTACTCCTTTTCGTTGTGCTCTCCTATATAAAGTAAACATCTAATATATTACTAGATATTAGTTGAATTAACTGATTTCCATTGTTGAGGATGTTCTGTTAATTAGGCCTCTTTTCGCGTATTGCTGTATAACTGTTTGTTGCTTTAACAATTATATCTACTACCTCTTGGGTAAATAGCTGTTGAAACGTTTGTAGTTCTGATAGGCCTGTAGCTCTTGATTCTGAGCATTTGAAACGCAATTCAAGTGGAGGCTGATATTAGGAAGCTCTGGGAGGCAGAGTAGGTCTATTTCGGCGGCTTTTGGAAGAGGGCCAGTTGCAATAGGTTGCAGCGCTGTTTTTGACGTTGTTCGGTCAGCTTTTCGCGGAATCTTTGGATCAGTAGCTGCAGAAGGAGCATCTTTTTCTTCCCATATGGTAACAGCTTTGCGCTTGCGTTGTGACTTGCGTGGCGTCATAACGAAGATAGAGCAAATGGGTTGATTCTAGAGAATCTTTGGAGTTGTACGTGCCAAGACCACAAAAATCCTTGGCGCGCTAATAGGCATCCAAATAACAGCGAGGGGGATAGAGCGTTGCTTCCCTGTTTCTCGCTTCTCTCCTCTCACGCTTCGTCATGTACATAGAGCCCATCCATAGCTATCGTTACAATAAGTACATTATCAATCAAACTTAATAATATCTTCTAATTCTTTGTTGTTCTAGCTAGACTTCATCTTTATCATCAACGTCGCTAAAGTACCCAAAACTTAGTACCTCGCCAGCGACTACCAACCAACATCGAGATGTTTTTTGTACATCCGGTGGCTCTTATAACCCATTGAAACCGCCGGGGAGATTTCAAATCACTCGAATATGTCTTGCAGTGTGCTCAATATACACCTGTGTAAAATTGACCACATTCAACCACAGCTCTTGGCATTTCTTGGCATTTCTTGGCAGTAAACTCTGCGGCGAATTCTGCGAAATAGCTGTGTAGGATCCTGCGCGAAATAGTTGCGAATTCTGCGTAGAAAGCTGTGTAGGATCCTGCGCGAAATAGCTGCATAGGATTGTGTGCGAAATAGCTATGAGATCTGTTGGATTTTACGTAAAATTACAAATTACAAGATAATACACGTAATTTTCGCCCAAAAGGGTATAGCTCGCTTATTTTGTGGGGCGGAATGACAACCTATACGTAATTTTGAGTTGAGACCTCAGACGTGCTGGCGCACCACTCATTACGTAAGCCATAGAGCACGGCTGAGATACTGAGGCAACACCAGATCTGTTTTCATGCCGTCCGCGAGTCCGAGGCGCGTCTTCAGTAGGTCCTGTTTGGTAATGTCCTCCTGAATGGCCTCCAATTTCTCCATGTCCCAGTTGGAAAACACACATCGCCCGTCGAGAAATCCTGCTCGAGGCGTGGAGAGGTACAGGATCGTTCCAGCTGCAAGGTTCACTAGTCATGCGCGGTGAGCCTGCTAACTCCCAACACCAGAGCGTGAGGATGCTTTACCTGTGTCGTGGAGAAGATGCCTGTAGTGCGGAGGCGCGTTATTTCCCATACCCGTATCGGCAATGCCACCCGGACGCACCGCAATGCAGCGCGTCCCTTGTTCATGGTGCTCTGTGAGTAGTAAGTCCATGGTACATAGACTAGTGTGACCTCTCTGCGGTGCTAGCTCGTACGTACCCGCATGAATGAACTCGGTGATTCTACGGTAGGCTCGTTAGTGTTTCCTACAGAATCACGAAGCCACTGTGAAAAAGCGTGGGCGGGTCTGACATACTTGTTAACGGCGATTTTGGCTGACGCGTAGGAGCTCAAGTTGCCAGCCGCAGGGCCAACGGAGACGCTGGACGAAACATTTACAATGACGCCAGACCTTCCGCCTAGAGCTCGGAGATATGCTCGACTGCAAAGATACAGCCCTTTGACATTGACTTCCTGAAAATATTCAATCATCTGTGTCTGGCTAAAGATACCTCGAGATACATACAAAGTCGGACCACCAATCATCGGTATCGCTGTCAACGAGGCTCTTCGACGAATCGACGACCTTTGCGTACCCGCATTGTTGACTAAGATATCGGGAACGGCCGGTAGCTTACTAAAGAGACCTCCCACGGCGGTCTCGTCAGTGATGTCTAGCAGAACGTCAAGAACGTCACAGCTGGGGACTTCTGCTTGGATGGCTGATTTGGTCTGCTGGAGGGATGTCTCATTGCGGCCCGTAATCACAACAACCTTGGCGCCAGCAAGAGCAAAGTGCTTCGCTGCAGCCTAGCGCAGCGAGGTGAGCAACTGGATCGCAAAACCTCTGCTGCAGTCGGCGGTTACTACTAACTCTTCCGATCCCTCCGCTGCTTCCGGTACCCAGCACAATTTTCCCATTTGTGCAACCTGTTAAATTGGAAGATGGCGAGATGAATGGATAGATGTCGTGTTTGGTTCTCTCAATCAGGGCGCGGCTGATCTGGCTTCTGCTTCTTGGCTGCATTATCACTGAAATGGCGAAAACCCGAGTACGAAATAAGATAGGCCGAGGATAGGAAAGGTGGCGCTGGATACTAGTTAATAGGGTTAGATTCTTATGCGTAACAGCCATCCCTGCTTGGCGGACGATCTGGACTACTAGCACTGATCGTGATGTCTCAAAACTTAATAGATGTAGTCTTACTTTAAGATATGACGACTTTTATGACATTTCAAATATATTTATGCAAGAAATATGAAAATATCTCGGTTTCATTATTATTAAACAGTGTCACGTGCGTCTACAGAATAGTTACAGCTATCCGCTCCAGTGTCACTGTATGAGCTCACTTCTTTATTCAGACAGCGTTCACGAAGGTTAAGTATAAACGAAAGTAATGATTTCACTACGGTCTCGGCCAAAGAAATATCATATTCAATTGAATCTTTTAATGCTTTTTTTTTTCTCACATAACTCTGAATGTTAGACATAACTTGAGTCTTCATCCACCCATCTCCCAACCCTGTAACACAAAACTGTTCCTCGATTCTCACAGTCTGGACAAATCCACCAACTTCTCAGCTCCTCGCCACCAACAATCGACTATCTAGCCCCGATCGCCGTGAATGATCTGCTGACTCCTTCGCTATGCTGACTCCTTCGCTATGCTGACTCCTTCGCTATGCTGACTCCTTCGCTATGCTGACTCCTTCGCTATGCTGACTCCTTCGCTATGCTGACTCCTTCGCTATGCTGACTCCTTCGCTATGCTGACTCCTTCGCTATGCTGACTCCTTCGCTATGCTGACTCCTTCGCTATGCTGACTCCTTCGCTATGCTGACTCCTTCGCTATGCTGACTCCTTCGCTATGCTGACTCCTTCGCTATGCTGACTCCTTCGCTATGCTGACTCCTTCGCTATGCTGACTCCTTCGCTATGCTGACTCCTTCGCTATGCTGACTCCTTCGCTATGCTGACTCCTTCGCTATGCTGACTCCTTCGCTATGCTGACTCCTTCGCTATGCTGACTCCTTCGCTATGCTGACTCCTTCGCTATGCTGACTCCTTCGCTATGCTGACTCCTTCGCTATGCTGACTCCTTCGCTATGCTGACTCCTTCGCTATGCTGACTCCTTCGCTATGCTGACTCCTTCGCTATGCTGACTCCTTCGCTATGCTGACTCCTTCGCTATGCTGACGCTCAAACCTCTTGGTAAGTAGGAGTCCTAACTCAGCCTCCCACATCCCTTGCCTAGCTGGCCCCATGAACAACACCACAAATGCATCGTCATCGCTAAATATGCTTTTGAAAACTCTGGAATGGAAAGCCGACGGTCGCTTCGCAAAAGTCGGTCTGTAACCGAATTGCAACGAAAGGGAAAATGGAACCAAACTGATCGACGCAGCATCGTACTGCTGGTTCATCCACGCCTTTTGCGGCGTCTCGCTCGGGCAGACACAAGAATGGGAAGTAAATAACCAGTCATTCCTTGATCCTCCCTCCACCATCGTCTCTCCTATTCCTTCTCAAAGACCCGCCGACAGATTTCAAACCTCTGGTATCATTCTTCACTTGCTATCCGATATTTGGTTTGATCAAAGGCCCATCGGTCGCGCTCCATTACCGAATGCCTCGATCCCTTTTCTCAAAAACTTCTTCATCTTTTTCGCCAACTTCGATTTCTCCTTCGTCGGAGGTGCCGGTGATGATCGCGATGGCTGGGCCGTGACTTTCGCCTTGATCCTGCCCCAGACTGAGGTTGCGGGTTTGGTGCGGATGAAATGGACATCTGTGATCGTCTTAGCTGCTTTATTTGAAATTGGTGTAGTGGCCTCCGTGTCTTCTGCGGAGGCGTTGGACGATCCATGAGGTGAGGAGCTTGCGCTTCCTGCGACTGAGCGGGCGGCTGTCAGGGGGTCGGCTGAAACCGGGACATTGCTCGCGTTGGTAGGAGCTGATCGTGGGAAGTCGATGTTGTTTTCATGCTCAAAGACGCCGGCCCAGTAATCGATGGCGTAGATGGCGCGGTTACCGGTGCCTTCGACTGACACATCGACGCTTTCGACTTCATCGAGTGGCTCCAGGTTCCCAGTGGAGGTGTAGCTATTTGCATAGCTTGGCATATCGGACCAAATGGACCTCCGGCCCATCATCTTCCGTGGTGTGTTCGAAGCCGGGCGCTTATATTGCGAGCGGACTGGCGATTTGGGATGGATGACGACGTCGGTGTCATCAGAATGTTCATCAGATCCGTCTTCATCCGTCACATCTTCATTGTGGGCCTTGTCGTCCTTGGTCTGGCATGTTGGGTCCGAGGTCGTGGTGAGAAGTGCTTCAGGTTCCTCGGGAGACACACTCATCTCTGCTTCTGACTCATTCTCCTCAGAGATAACTTCCATCTTGTCTAGCTTAGACCGATACTTGGTCTTAGGCAAAGGCAGCTCGGCTAATTTCTCAAGCTCAGCATGAGATGGAAGAGATGACTGGCGTTGCACAGATCGGGGAGACGAATTCTCTTTTGCAAGATCTTTCAGGTTGGCAAAAGACTTGGAGCGTGGTATGGAAGAGCCCTTCGAAGAAAGCAAGGAGGCTCTCTTGAACTTCCCCAGCATTTGCTTCGGAGACACGATGGCTGGTTCGAAATCATCTGATGGTAGGACCAAAGATGCGCTTTTGGGCTTGGCTGTACACTTTGAAGGGGACGGTTCTTCATTCGTAGTGTCAGTCGCAGGCCAAGCTTCTTCAGACATCTCCATAGGGGCAAATGGTGAGTCTGTTAATCGGCGAGCAGGGCTTTTCCGAAGTTGCAAGGGCAGAATGACGTGATTTAGTGTCTTTAGTGAAATTGGAGACATCTGTTCATTCTCGCCAATGCCATCCTCGTCCTCCAGGTCAGACAGCACATTTTGCAAGAGGGGTGAAGATGGTCGTGATGGAGCATTGTAGCTCATGTCACTACCAGAGGCAGGTGGAGGTGAAGTGCTGGAGCTAACCTCAGCACTGGTAGCAAAGCCGTTCTCGACAGTGTCCTTGGGAAGGTTGGTAGCACCAGGTAGTTTGACTCGAATCGGTGGCTTGGTGCTATCTGCGGCTGACGTCAAAGAGGAATCATCAAACACGGTGGCAGAAACGACCTGAAGGTCCTTGAATGGCGCAACTGGCTTTTTGCGGATCGGAAAACTGAAGTTGACTGATGATGCAGCTAAAGAGGAGATGTGAGGAGTCGTAGCAGGGACAGTCTGAGGCTGATGTACCAACGCAGCTGGCTTCTCGCGAATTGGTCGGCAGAAGCTGACTCCGAGCGAAACGGAATCCGCAGGCGTGGTTGGAGCAGTACTGCTGGCATCTGCTCCCTCCTCGGAAGACTCGCTTGACGACTCAACTCCATCTTGACGATCCACCAGCCCACATTTCTGGAGTGGTCGCAGGGTGTCTGGGACGCTGACAGAAACAGCAGCCGTATCTCCATATATTTCCCTGTCTTCTTCCTCAAGTTCTTCTTGAGTCAAACCCTCTAGAGAATGCTCTGGCGATTTTGCATCTGCATGGCAAGGAGTGATCGAATTGTGCACAGGCCCAGATTGAAGTTCAGCCGGTCGTGATGGGCGTCCATTGACTTCCTCACATTCGATGGTCAATCCCTTGTCATCAGCAACAGTCGACACCGGCGAGGTGTCAGGGGCTGCATGACTATCTGGTGTTGCTGAAGATGTGGGCTCCACATCAACTTTAGGTTCCCCTTCAAGGTCTCTCTTTGCTTCGATCTGAACAGCTGCGGAAGTAAGGTGCCCGAGCGGAGCAGCTGGACTGGGCGATATAGACTCTTCGTCCTCATCGTCAATCTCATCAGACCACTTGGCGCATTTGCCCAAGAATTGGTTGATGTCAACTGTCCAGGCTGAATAGCCCTTTCTAGCGCCATCGCCGTCCTTCGAAGATGTCGCAGCCATAGGCATATCTACTCTTTCTTTTGGTGAAAGGTGCAAATCTTCTGTCGTCATTACTTCATAGAGAGGGGATCCCTTTCGTTCACACGCATGCTGGCGCTTTAAAACCTGCTGCGTTTCCTGCAGTTTCTCCTTTGCCAACCTTTCTGAGTTCCTGCATAGGTCCCACCGATCCATCATGGACGAATTCTGGAACCAGCCGTTGACAGGAAAGATCTGAGGCTCATACTTGAGAACATTCATTCCATCAAGTTCGGGTCGATCTTCGTGCTCACCATATGTGTCAGACCACCAAGTACCATGCTGCGAGTAGAAGTTCTTGCATAATCCCGTCGCAGCCTCACGCAGACGTGATCCTCGAAGGTGCAGAATCTCAGCAGGGCCTTGGTAAATGACAGGATCAACGTGCTTCATTGCATTTCGCATCACAGCAAATCCGTGTGGGTCCGGGATCTCAGTTCCGCGTTCGCCCCATTGAGAGACGAAACCTGATTTGGCACCTGTCACGGCTACAAGAAGAGATACAGCTGGTGGAGTTGTAGTTTTGTGTGTTACCCCTTCCCCAAGGAAGTTGAAATGGTGAATATTCTTGTTCTTGTGGAACTGAGAGCTTTGACGCTCCCATTCGGTCTGAGCTGCTTGTAATGCGCATCTCATGCCGCGGTTGATGTGTGGTTTCTCGAGCGGCTCTTGGATGGTTCTTGATTCGTCGACGGGTAAACCATCAATATTCACTGGCGCGTGGCTAATGGCGTCTGGAAGGGGAGCTGAGGTTTCTAATGTCGAGCTGGCATTATCCTGCGAGTCGCCGGTTTGTGCGGTCGTATCGTGGCAGTTGAGATCTGAAACATCTGGTTGATGCGGAGAAGACTCTTCTGCGTTGCCTAAACCTGGAATTTGGATGAGCTCCCCAGTTCGGGGCATCTGTGGAATCAGCCTGGGTGCATGGTCACACAAAGGAAAGGATTTCTCTCTTACAGGTGAACCCAGAGAGCGCTGGCTCATGTCTGGTGGCTCAGCAGCTTGCACTACTGGTATATTTGTTGCCATGTCTGCCATGTCTGCGAAGGTAGAGCAAGAAATGATGGAACCAGAAGCGTAAGCTTCGGGCAGGATGGCAGAAGCTCGGCTTCTTTCAAGCAGTGAGCTCGCTGAAGGTCGAGCGATATATAGCAATCACAGTGTGGAATGAGTTTTTGTAGAAGGTATTGCGGGTCACAGTTGGACAAAGCAAGCGAATTGCTCCCTGGATGGGGAGTGGCAAAGAAGTCGGCGTGGATAACTTCCTGAGGTGTAGATGGTTTTTCGAGGCTCGAGTATGATGTTCTTTTTTTTGGAGGTAGATGACAGTGAAGCTGAGGTCCACTTATTTTAGGTGAAGCCAGCCTGCAGATCAGTCACAATTGATTGTGTGAAAGTGTTTCGGGCTCTGCCAAGATGTGAAAAGAGGAAACAATTTCAGGGTGCGCAAAACACTTGCGAATTGAATAGCAGGCTCCCGCAGAGTGTTTGGTATGGCATCGAAAGAAGCACTTCGTACGGTGGCACAGTTGATCTGATCACTGTGAGGATTGCATGTCGAGCCATAGTGTTCCATGCCAAAGACCAATTCTGGGTGAGTAATAGCGCGTTTGTAAGTCACAGTCACTACAAGCCATCTCAACATGCGCAGACTCGTTGCTGAAGAATCTCAACAATGCTTCATCCTCGTCGTGATCCCGTTTAAACCTCATCAACGTTTACCTCAGCACTATCCATTCTCGGCAAGATAGCAAAAGAGGTGAATCTCAAAATGGATATATTTGATATGACAACTTTAGAAAGACAAAAATTCGACATGATTCGATCAACAAGGATAAAGAAAGGAGTCTCCTTATCAGACCATCAGAAATGAGTGCATGATGACCAATCGAAAGCAACAAACACCGCAGCTCCGTAGTTCGTTTGCAGAGTGAAGTTTGCGACCCATTTCATTCACTGGGTAGACACATACTCCACTTGAGAAGGCATTCAGCCCTTTGCCTATTGTAGATCTAGAAGACCATTTTGAAGATGGGAGGAAAACACTTGTTTCGGGTGGAAGGAAAGAGGCGGACCCTCCTTTTCCAGCACAGATTGCTGATATCTCCAGGAAAAGAGTGCATTTTGACAATGCTTGGTGCTGCAACCTCATAAATAATCTTCTCACATCACTCAATGACCAGTTTAGTACTAGATAAAGTCAGCTCGATAACAAAATAGGCAGTTGAAGTGGGTTGTTGTTGATGTTATTACTGATTAGAATTTGGAAATAGGTTGGATGAGGCTTGGCAGCTATTCATCAGTGCGCGTTTGCCCATGGGGTGACTAAGAGCGTCTTTCCAACACGTACAGATGTACATTCCTCCAGACAGCAGGGCTCTTGGCTCATATGATGCTAGAGGTGGTCATAGTGCCGCAAGAGTTGCTTCCACCTAAGGCATGGACTAGAAGCTTTGGAAGAGAGAATGCTTCAGAATTTGCAAATCTTCCACGGAATGAATGGGCAAGCATCTCTTGCCGCCAGTCTAGTGACGGACCATCTGCCTTTGCCAATCAGAGTAGTGTCCGTCTGTACCTTCCAAGCCGGCTCTCTTGGCTTGCTTATTTCTTGTAGATCACTGTTGCTGCTGCCTTCACAAGACCAGTGTGTCAGACTGTGGAGGGTAACAGCTCAGTGGGTAGGATGACGAGCTCACCTGGTGATTGGGAAAGATAAGCGAGTCGGCAAGCACCACGTTCTCTCTTCTACCTGCAGCGAAGACGACAACTTCAGCTACATCATCGGGTGTCAGGGGTTCACAGCCTGCATAGACAGCGTCGGCCTTTGCCTTGTCTCCACCAAATCGAACCAAAGAAAACTCCTGCATTCGCTGGTCAGTTACCTTGCGGCGTAAATTTTAGATGGCCGACTCACTGTTTCGACCTGACCCGGGTCCACCTCAATAACCCTAATCCTGCTTGCTATTAGTTCCCTTCTTAAAGCATCTGTAAATGTCCGAACTGCCGCCTTGGTAGCACAGTATATACTGCCCCCGGGGTATCCTTCTCTGCCAGCAATACTGCCAATGTTGATGATATCTCCACTTCCGGATTCTCCTCTCTGCTTCATGATTGGCATTATTGCTTGAGTCATGTTAATGAGCCCGGTGACATTCGTGGAGAACATGATATCGATATCTTGGGGAAGGATGTCGGGTGCCTGCGCAACACCCTTTACCAACCCAGCATTGTTCACTAGAACATCGATATCTTTGAAGTCATCCGGTAACTTTCCGTGGAAGCTTTTTACCTCTTCTTGTTTACTGACGTCCAATTGGACAGGCAAGACCTTCACCCCATCTCCGACTTCCTTTTGAATGTCTGCTGCAACTCCCCTAAGCTTTTCTAATCTCCTCGCGGTTAAGATGATCTTCAAGGATTGTGGAGATGTCCGAGCAAATTCTTTGGCAACCGATTGCCCTATCCCTGATGATGCGCCGGTCACCAAAATTGTTTTGCCCTCCAGACGCTTGGACATTCCAGACGACATCCTCTTTCCTAAAGCAGGGTAGTACTGTGCGGAAGGCGAACCGAGCGTCTTTGCAAACCTCAGGCGTGGGAAGATATGCAAAAATCCTTTCGAACTGAGCAATCCCGGCACGCAGGCAGCATCTACTCTACAAGATGGGAGATGGGGCATGTGATAGGTAATTAAGATGAGATGGTGAAAAGAAGAATAGCTTAATGAGTGCAAGCCGTTAAGGATCTACATGTAACAGTATGTTTGCATGCTCAGACGTTTACGTGGAAGATCTTGCCCGACTCCGGAGGGAGAACGTGGCACAGTGCCAAGGCTACGAACAACCCTTGGTAGTACGTCAATAGGCATCCGAATAGTAAGAGCAAGGGGGGATAAGCCACAGATGAGTTCCTGAGGCTGGGACTGCGATGCCTTCCATGTTAAATCTAAGTTGGTTACTTCGTACTTCTCTCTGTTATTCTCCTCTTGCAGAGAGTCTGCATTGCATCCAGACCAGACAAATCGCAGCCACCATCCTATTTGTTCCAAGAGCACGGCACCTACAATTATCCATCATAAAGTGGTTGCAATCCTGACTGCCAAAGGCAATAGGACTCGGAAGATAAGCCTAGCTTCTGTCGGACGGTCTTCACGTGTCTCGTCCACCGAGCCAGATTTTAGATTATTCGGAACACCGCTCTCCCTGAGACGAGAAGAGGGCATGACATGATGTTTGTCACTCCTACGGCCGTCTACCCGCAACTCCGATAGCCGTCTTTCTTGATGGCACCTTCCCGCTCTTGTCTAGGGTCTTTACTTATGTCTCAACATGAAACTTCTGGAAGCAAGTGTATCTGCAAGGGTACGTCGCCCGGGTATAAGAGTGGAGACCATCTGCCAAAAAAGCCGTTGACCCAGCCTGCCCGAGCCGGCTCCTGGACACTCCCATGAAACCGGGTAAGTAGTTACACACCACTAATCCCAAATAAAAGCTCCGAACCCACAACCATCTTTCGAAACAGAAAATTCCCGAGAGTATCCCAGCTCAGCAGTAAAGCCCAACCAGGATATGCACACGCATGCAGCTGCGAGACATTTTTTCCCCCAAGCCTGCTCTACCCGCTTGCCTGTTTCCCCTAACACCCACCCTCACAACGCATGCTTACCCGCAGCCCCCACCAACAACTCTATATCCCTGAAGATGACACACAAAATCCCCGAGGAGAGTGTCCAAGAACTTACGTGAATCCCGTGCAACGGTCGTAAACCAGGGCATGACATGCATGAATTCACTACGGAAGAAATCTCCTGAGCATTCTCCTGCTCCCAATGAGTCCTTCGTTGCCTACTTGCCTCCCGGCCCCCCACCCCTTCCTTTTCTTTGTCTCAGACCCTACCACGCCCCAAGTCTGCCGGCCTGCCTTGCCCTGCGCTTGAAGCATCCTTTCCGCGCCCCAGCCGCTGCTAACGCCGTACACCGGTTTTCCCCCATCCTGCAGAGGAGAAGCCAAGTCCCAGGTACCAGGTACCTGAAACCTGGTAAAAGACTTCGGTCATCCTTACTCCTGCCTGCATACGTGGACGCAGTACCACGTAAGCCACCCAATGAAACCGTTCTCAAGCAAAGTAAGCACTAACTACTAGCCAGCATGCTGGAAAGGCAACCCCATACAAGCCGTGCTGCACGCGAGGTGAATCGGATTGCTACGTGCTCGGTAGTAATTCTACGGAGTTTTCCCTTTTTCCTTGATGCACAGACAACCTCATGGCTCCAACGTTACATCCGTTACATGTATCTGTCTGGCTCCGATCCTCGATCGCTAGGCAAGTGCAGTTTTACCAACGACTTTCAAGTCGATGTCAAGACCAGATGTTTTACTCGCTTTCTTGTCTGGGATCCAGGACCGCTGAAAATAAAGATGGCCGGGTTGTTGGAAAACTCCAAGCCCCAAACCTTGGTCAATTCTGGGTCAATTCTGGGTCAATTCTGGGTCAATTCTGGGTCAATTCTGGGTCAACTCTGGGTCAATTCTGGGTCAATTCTTTGCGGGCTCGCTGGCTGACAGCACAGCACCAGTGTTTTGGCCTGTACTATGTAGTAGTATAGCGGCAAACCTGATGAGCCTCCGAAGGTCGGCCAGTCACAGTGGCTGGCTACCATATCACTACGCACAACTTAGGAGGTACAGTACTAGGACAAAAGTATCGGACCAACCCCACTTTCAGACCCCACCAACATTTTGGACCATCTTCATACAATTTACCATAGTAAGTTACCAACTTGATGGATTCTGATGAAAAACGGCTCAGAATGTTCAGAAACATCCAGAGATTGAGGCTGGGCTATTTTCCTAAATAGGCAGTCGATATTCAGAATCTGGTGTACCATCCTTTAGCCGCAATGACCGCATTCACTCGACTATCCATACTCTTGATGAGATTGGCCACAGCTTCTTCTCCTATAGCATCCCAACCCTCATAAATTGCTCTGAACAGACGTTGATAATCCTCCTCCGATTTGCCCATATTAATTAGCTCTGGATGGTGATCATTGATCCATTGCTTGAGTTGCGCCCAGAGGTGTTCAATTAGGTTGAGATCAGGACTATAGGCTGGCCATTCCATCAATTCTATGCCCTCCTCTTGAAGCCAATTGATAATCTTCTTTGCAGTATGGATTC